AAATGCAAACGTAAAAAAATTTCAAAACCATTTAGATAAAAACGTTCGTCTTAATACAGAAATAATATCGGGACCCGATATTGAAGACGCCATCGACATATTAAATAAAAACATATATAATGCTTCCTTAGCAGCAACACACCCACCTCGTAGACATCAACAGCAACAAAGACAAGGCACAAATACAAATCGCATGAACCATGGCCGTTTTAAATTAACAAACGAAACAATTAGACTTTTGGCAATAAAACGGCAGCGCAAGAGAGAACATATGGTTATGCGAACACCTCTCACGCGAAGCCGACTTAGCCAGGCCCAAAACAAACTAAAAAAAGCGCTTCGTATGGACAAGAAGAAACAAACGAACAAAATGTTTGAACAAATAGATGCCACTGATCGCTACAAGATACAAAAGCTTTGGCGCATCACAAACAACATCAAAAGGCAACCAGAGCCAAATTGGCCACTTAAAATACAAGCGACTGACAACAACAACAGTCGCAGCAATAGAACACAATGGACTAAAACTAGTAAAGAAAAGGCTGAGGTCTTCGCTGCATACCTGGAGCAACGTTTCAGCCCCATATTCTCAAATACGGCTGAATACAGACTCCAGGTGAATAATGAGATAAACACTAGACAGCAAACTAACGATTGCGACAGCGGCGCTGGCGTCGCTGGTGTTATCCCTTTTCGCCCAATTACATATACTGAGGTGACAAAAGAGATTGGCTGCTTGACAATAAAAAAGGCTGCAGGCATCGATAACATAGACAATAGAGTCATTAAAGCACTACCAAAGAAAGCAATACTGTACCTTGTCATGATATACAACTGCATACTCAGACATGGCCATTTCCCGCGACAGTGGAAATGCGCTGCCATAAAAACAATTTTAAAGCCTGGAAAACCCACAGAAGATGTCGCCTCATATCGACCAATAAGCCTGCTTGCAGGTTTCTCCAAAATCTTTGAAAGGCTTCTCATGTACAGGCTCTATGAATGCTCTGAATTTGCAAAGGCCGTGCCACTACATCAATTTGGCTTTCGCAAAGATCATGGCACTGAGCAGCAACTAGCACGGGTAACCCAATTCATCCTGAGTGCATTTGAAAAGAAACAATACTGCTCAGCCGTCTATATCGATATACGCGAAGCATTTGATCGAGTATGGCACGAAGGATTGCTCTTGAAACTTGGCAAGATACTGCCTAATAGGCTGTATAATGTTCTCAAGAGCTATCTACTTGATCGCACATTCATCGTACATGGAAACGAGGGCATTAAATCTAGAATAGGCAAAGTTAGCGCTGGAGTGCCCCAGGGGAGCGTACTTGGGCCAATTCTATATATCATCTACACATCAGATATGCCATTACCACACATTGCAACACCTCCCAATCCAACAACAACAGCAGCAACAATAACAAATACAGAAACGTCCATAACTAACCCATACAACTGCAGCATGCTACTGTCAACGTTTGCCGATGACACAGTCATAATGAGCTCTGCTGACATACTGCAAACATCATACAGTGCAAATCAAACGTATCTGCGCCAATTCACCATTTGGTGCAATCGCTGGTGCATCCAAATTAATGACAGCAAATCAGCTCATGTAGTACATACTCTACGCAATTTAAACAGCCGAATGAATTACCTGACTCCACGACTCAATGGGCAAGAAATCCCCTCTAAACCAAGGCAAAAGTACCTAGGTGTCCATCTGGACCGAAAGCTCCACATGCAACACCATGTTACGCAGCTACGATGCCGTCTTAAAGCACTCTATAATAAACTAGAGTGGCTAATAGGAAACAAAAGCGTACTCTCTGTAGAATGCAAAATCACTATCTACAAGCAGATGATTGCGCCGATATGGAGATATGCTTTGCCGATCTGGGGTGCCATGATCTCTGACACACAGCTACGCCGAATAGAATCCACACAGAACTGGATTCTAAGGAAGATAGTGAAGGCCTCCTGGTGGACTAGAAACAAAGACATACGTGATACTTACGACATAGGCACAGTGGACGAAATATTCCATACTACAAGCAAAAGATTCGCCGACTCACTTGCTATTCATCCTAATGCCAACGCTCGTAAGCTAATCACAAGTCCGTATGTTCCAATTCGTCTTGATCGGCAAAGGTATAGTCTGCAACTACAACAACATGTTCGCCCTCTACAGCAACTAGTGCAGCAATCGCAAGAACAACAACAGCTGCCAACTCTGCTTCGCATGGAGCTTGAAGAAGAAGAAGCAAACTCGCTCAGAATGCAACAGCAGCAGCAACAGCAGACCCCACAACAACAGCCAGCCAGATTCAGCGAAATGAGGATAAATTCGCTAAGAAGGCACTACAGAGAGGGACGAATTACGCTCGAAGAGCTAAAACTAGCAATTAGGGAACAGCCATTGGTGATTCAGCAATTAGTACTGCCTCGCGAGCTGGCTATTCAAATATACCAGCAGCAACAACAGCAGCAGCAACAGCAACAACAGCAGCAGCAACAGCAACAACAGCAGCAGCAACAGCAACAACAGCAGCAGCAACAGCAACAACACCAGCAGCAACAGCAGCAGCAACAGCAACAAGAGCAGCAGCAACAACAGCAGCAGCAACACCAGTACCAACAGCAGCATCAGCAACAGCAACAACAGCAAATACAGCAGCAGCAACAACAGCTCGAGGGACTCCAGCATCAGCCAAATCAGTCCGCCTGACGTCGAAATAGTGCTAGATACACCACAGCAGCAACAAGAGCAACAACTAGAACGGCCACTTCCACAACCTCAGCAAGCCAATTTACAACAGCAACGGCTAACTGAGGACGAGCAGCAGCTTGAGCACCGACTTGAAAGACTCAGGCAGCAACTTGAGCGCGAGATGGACGAGGCTGCAAATAACGAGCCAACTCAACAACAGCGAACACCAGAGCAGCAGCAATCAAACCAACAGCAACACACAATAGCCTTAACTGAAAATAAAAATACAAATATTAATCCAAACAACTCAGTCTGTGCCAATATAACAAATTTTTCTATTTCACAGAGCATAATAATAGCCCCATACAGCCTCATAAACATTGCCACAGATGCTCCTTGGCAACAAAATCAGCCCACAACCACACAACAGCTCCGCCAGCAGCACTCGAACCTTCACCAGCAGCACCTACAGCAACAACGGGAGGTAGTGGAGGCGCCCAGCAGCAACAACGCACAGTCAACAGTCAGGGGGGCTAAAAGAAGAAGAAGCAGTTCAACAAGCTGTATTGAACCCAAAAGACGCTCACCTGCAGCTCCTGACAACCAGCAACAGCGGCAACTCCACACTCTACTCGGCAAAAGGCACTCTGGGGGACCAGCTCAACACAACTGCTGGCCTCCAAAGCGCCAGAAGCTCGTGCAACAGCAGCAACAACGTCAAGCATGCCTTCGCAGAACACGGCTGGGTACATGTCAGCTGCAAATGCCCCACAGGCTGGGAATATGGCTCCTACTCTCCTGCTTTGGCATGCAAACACACCATAAGGTGCCCCAGAAGCTTGTGTGGGCACCTCCAGCAGACTACGGTCAATCCTCGACGAACGGCAGACACCTCCAAATTGCCAGAAGGCGCCCGTGGCACTCCTGGCAGCGGCTCCAACGTCGATGGTCCAATTGCGGGCGGCAAACACACAGGAAGGCCAGGCCGTATAACATATTAATCCATGAGACCTGAAATAGATAAATAATAAGTAAATTTGCACCAACTAGAATTATAAATTCCAACAAATCCTTAAATTCGCCCCTCTGGCAAACTATGTTTACAATTTAACTCAATCAATATGTTAACTCAGCTGTTCATAACGCAATCGAAAGCAGCCCTGATAACATTAACAGAGGTATGTTAATAACAGAACCAATTGAGTAATTGCTCAACTGTTCTGAACGCAATCGCCAACAACCCTGATAACGTTAACAGAGGCACTGTTAATAACAGAAATAGTACCGCCAACTGCTAAAATTCAAATAAGCCTGCCAAGCATAGTATTAAGTAATGTTAAATGTAAAAAATAATTGTTAAATGTTTATTTATCGTAATTCGTCACAATTTTCTTTTATGTTGTGATATGCATGTAAAATTTTGTTAAAATATGTCATACATGCCAGTAATTTGTCAGCTAGTCCGTTCCACAATTAGACCTATTTCGTTCCAATTCTGTCTCATATATTGCATTGTGAACTAGAATTAAGCAATGAAAAAGACAATAAAATGCGACTACTAGCTTAATCGCTAGAAGTTCGCCGTAGCGCACGCATGCGCAGCAATTTAAAATCGCTAAGAAGGCACTACAGAGAGGGACGAATTACGCTCGAAGAGCTAAAACTAGCAATTAGGGAACAGCCATTGGTGATTCAGCAATTAGTACTGCCTCGCGAGCTGGCTATTCAAATATACCAGCAGCAACAACAGCAGCAGCAACAGCAACAACAGCAGCAGCAACAGCAACAACAGCAGCAGCAACAGCAACAACAGCAGCAGCAACAGCAACAACACCAGCAGCAACAGCAGCAGCAACAGCAACAAGAGCAGCAGCAACAACAGCAGCAGCAACACCAGTACCAACAGCAGCATCAGCAACAGCAACAACAGCAAATACAGCAGCAGCAACAACAGCTCGAGGGACTCCAGCATCAGCCAAATCAGTCGCCTGACGTCGAAATAGTGCTAGATACACCACAGCAGCAACAAGAGCAACAACTAGAACGGCCACTTCCACAACCTCAGCAAGCCAATTTACAACAGCAACGGCTAACTGAGGACGAGCAGCAGCTTGAGCACCGACTTGAAAGACTCAGGCAGCAACTTGAGCGCGATATGGACGAGGCTGCAAATAACGAGCCACCTCAACAACAGCGAACACCAGAGCAGCAGCAATCAAACCAACAGCAACACACAATAGCCTTAACTGAAAATAAAAATACAAATATTAATCCAAACAACTCAGTCTGTGCCAATATAACAAATTTTTCTATTTCACAGAGCATAATAATAGCCCCATACAGCCTCATAAACATTGCCACAGATGCTCCTTGGCAACAAAATCAGCCCACAACCACACAACAGCTCCGCCAGCAGCACTCGAACCTTCACCAGCAGCACCTACAGCAACAACGGGAGGTAGTGGAGGCGCCCAGCAGCAACAACGCACAGTCAACAGTCAGGGGGGCTAAAAGAAGAAGAAGCAGTTCAACAAGCTGTATTGAACCCAAAAGACGCTCACCTGCAGCTCCTGACAACCAGCAACAGCGGCAACTCCACACTCTACTCGGCAAAAGGCACTCTGGGGGACCAGCTCAACACAACTGCTGGCCTCCAAAGCGCCAGAAGCTCGTGCAACAGCAGCAACAACGTCAAGCATGCCTTCGCAGAACACGGCTGGGTACATGTCAGCTGCAAATGCCCCACAGGCTGGGAATATGGCTCCTACTCTCCTGCTTTGGCATGCAAACACACCATAAGGTGCCCCAGAAGCTTGTGTGGGCACCTCCAGCAGACTACGGTCAATCCTCGACGAACGGCAGACACCTCCAAATTGCCAGAAGGCGCCCGTGGCACTCCTGGCAGCGGCTCCAACGTCGATGGTCCAATTGCGGGCGGCAAACACACAGGAAGGCCAGGCCGTATAACATATTAATCCATGAGACCTGAAATAGATAAATAATAAGTAAATTTGCACCAACTAGAATTATAAATTCCAACAAATCCTTAAATTCGCCCCTCTGGCAAACTATGTTTACAATTTAACTCAATCAATATGTTAACTCAGCTGTTCATAACGCAATCGAAAGCAGCCCTGATAACATTAACAGAGGTATGTTAATAACAGAACCAATTGAGTAATTGCTCAACTGTTCTGAACGCAATCGCCAACAACCCTGATAACGTTAACAGAGGCACTGTTAATAACAGAAATAGTACCGCCAACTGCTAAAATTCAAATAAGCCTGCCAAGCATAGTATTAAGTAATGTTAAATGTAAAAAATAATTGTTAAATGTTTATTTATCGTAATTCGTCACAATTTTCTTTTATGTTGTGATATGCATGTAAAATTTTGTTAAAATATGTCATACATGCCAGTAATTTGTCAGCTAGTCCGTTCCACAATTAGACCTATTTCGTTCCAATTCTGTCTCATATATTGCATTGTGAACTAGAATTAAGCAATGAAAAAGACAATAAAATGCGACTACTAGCTTAATCGCTAGAAGTTCGCCGTAGCGCACGCATGCGCAGCAATTTAAAAAAAGCAATTTAAAAAAAAAAGCAATTTAAAGCAATTTAAAAAAGCAATTTAAAAAAAGCAATTTAAAAAAAAAAAAAGCAATTTAAAAAGCAATTTAAAAAAAGCAATTTAAAATTAAAAAAAAAAAAAAAGAATTTTTCAATTCTAACAAATAACATAAAACACAACTTAAAAATCAGAATTTTTCAATTCTAATAATTAACCAAGCTTGCAAATATATTTGTGAAGTTATCTGAGTAATTGCTAAACAGGCATAGTGGCAAGCAAATACAATAAATATTTAAAAGGTGCAAATAGTGGTAAAAGACAAACATAACTGCACCAGAAATAATATATAAAGTGCATAAATGCAAAAACCAACTGTGTCTAAAAGCCCGCCTAAAAGTCCGCATAACGCTTCTGAAATTACCGCAAACTCGGCTGTCCCCCCCCACCGCGCAACCGAAGAATGCAGCATAAGTGAAAGAGCGAAAAGTGAACTTTCACAGTTGCAGCAACAGCTCACAAAAAATCCGCAAAAGCAGCTCAGCCGAGAACACCGGCGACAGCAGTTGCTAAGGCTATGCGAAGAGGAGGAAAGGTTAATGCCCGATGTCCCAGCGCAGCAGCCGACGCTTACGCTCAAGCATAAGCCGAAGCTGAAAACAGTTCTCGCCAACTCTTCACCGCCCAGCTCGGCACCGCTGAGAATGTCTCTGACGAAGTCGTCGAAAGCTAAGGCAAGGAAAGAGAGCCAATCATCTGCCTGCAGAGAGAAAAGTCCAGAAGAGAACATCTATGTCAATGTGTTGGAGTCTGACGATGAAAGCGACATAGCAGCCAATAAAAATTATGACCAGCCGCAACAGCAGACAACTATTGCACAGGTACATAATTTCAATACAAATACTAGCATAACTAGCACTCCCAAAGCAGCCTCTCACTGTGATCCATCGCCAAACGTATCGGCACACGAAGTTGAACTTCATAATGTTGATAACACAAGAGAAGCTAGCTATGTTAATAACATTGATGAACTAACAGACGTCTTTGACGACGAAGATGATGATGATGACTGTTACCGGCCCGCTGCTGTTATTAACAGCTCAGTTGCTGACATGCTTAACAGAACAACTACTGTTGAGCATAACAGCACAGCCACTGCTAACAGAGGGGAAATTCTTGCAAATGTTAAAACATCTGATGCATTTGCTGCCAATAATATTAATAGTATTACTTTTGAAAAAATCGAACCAATTCCACAAACAATAACGCCAACAGTAGCAAAAGGACCTAAATTTAACTGCTCTATGCTACCTACGACTTCCCTGTCTGCCAAGAAAAGTTTAAAACGTAAAGGTACACTGCCGCAACAAAGCAAACAAAAGCGAGCACAGACACTGGCAGTACAAGGAAACTCACGACCAGGCATGAAGATACAGGACTTCTTGAAGTCATCAACAAGAGTAACTAAGGCAACAAATAAAGCAGCTATAATCAACAAATATAAAAAAAGCAATCGTAATACTAAAAAAGTAAACCCCTCTAGCAGCACTAAACTCAACAACAGCAGTATGGATATTGACCTGGATAGCAGCGACATATCAGCAAATAACATAGGCTCTGATGATGACATTGTTCAGATCCAGAGCAATGCACAAGAGGTTACAAACCACGCCACCAAAGTCCAGCAACAACAACAGCATCGACAGCAGCAACAACATCACCAGCAGCAGCAACAACAGCAACAGCAGCAGCCAACTAAAAGCACAAAAATTCCAACAATTTTTCTACCCAGCATAAGTGACATACAACAAATAATTGATATGCTCAATAATACAGTGGGTGCAAATAAATATACAACAAAGTGCACACAAAACGATGGAGTCAGAGTGCAATGCAGCGACTTACTATCGTATAATGCAGCTATAGCAATGCTCGGCGCCAATACGGAAATACAGATGCACACCCACCAGATGCGAAGCGAGCGAGGATACCGTGTTTTACTTAAAAATGTCCACCACTCCACGCCATGCGAGCAAATCCGAGCAGAATTGGCGAAACATGGACACACGGTTCGCTTTGCCAGCGTCATTAAACATCGATTTGAGCGACGGCCACTTAACATGTTTGAAGTCGAACTGGCACCAAACGGCGACACCAACGACAAAGTACTGGAACTGAAAACTCTGGGAAACCAACACATTGAAGTAGAAAGACAGCTGAAGCGAGATGAGCCTGTACAGTGTCATCGGTGCCAATCGTTTGGGCATAGCAAGAACTACTGTCGTAGGCCTTTTGCATGTCTCAAATGCGGTGAACAGCACCCGACTACAACGTGTACTAAACCCAGAAACACACCTGCTAAGTGCGTTAACTGCAAGGCTGACCACATAGCCAGCTTTAAGGGATGCAGTGTGTACAAAATGGAGCGGGAAAAACTAGCAGCAAACCGTGTCCGGGCGGCAATTGATAGGCAACAGCAGCACCAACAACAGCAGCAACAGCAACAACAACAGCAGCAGCAGCAGCAGCAACAGCAGCATCAGCAACAGCAACAGCAACAACAACAGCAACAACAGCAGCAGCAACAACAACAACAAAATCGGCAGCTACAACAACATCAGCAGCAGCAGCAACAACAACATCGGCAGCTACAACAACATCATCAGCAGCAGCAGCAACTACAACACCAACACCAGCAGCCACAATACCTAGCAATTAATACTTCAGCTCCTAGTGGAATTAAGTCGACTAAGGAACGGAAGCAACAGCAACAGCAACTTCGGCAACAACAGCAAAAGCAGCAGCAGCAACAACAGCAGCAACATCAACAGCTGAAGCCAAACAATCAACTGACTTATAGCCAAGTAGCCAGTGGACAAGCAAATACGAGCCTCAGTCACAACCCAGCCATGCAACACCTCAAGAAGTACCAGCAACAGCTACAACTGGAGCAGCAACAGCAGCAACGACAACAGCAGCAACAACAACAGCAGCAGCTACAGCCCGAGCAGCAGCAGCAACTTCAGAGGCAACAGCGACTGAGGCAACAACAACTACCTGAGCAGCAAAAACGGCAGCAATATCAACGACAGCAAGAGCAGCAATCACATGAGCAACAGCAACGACACCAGCAGCAATCGCAACAACAACAACATAGACAACAGGCGGACTCACCACTCTTGGAGGCGCTGCAGCAAAATGTGATAAGTATAAATGAGATGTCCAAGAAAATAGACATGCTAATTAGCCTGTTGCTCACAATGGCAGCAAGCAACACTAATATTAATAAACAAGGAGAACAACAAACAATCCCACTAACAACATCAACCTCTGATACCTTGAACAATGTCAATAAAAAAAACAATTTTCCTAATTTAATGAGTACATTGATTAGCACAGCACAGCCAATAAACAACAGCCAATCGGCAAACGCCAATTGTGAACACATAGCCACTGACAGTAGCCAGTATGTATAGAGCGAACAACACCAACAATGCCAGCGCGACTGCCACATTGAGTCAAGTCAATGATGGCAGACACACCACTCACACTACTAGTGACACCACAACTACTACAACAACACATTTGTCCAACCTTAACAGTCCATTGCTTAACAGGAGAAGGCCAAACATTATTCCAAATACGAACCACAGCAGCGACCAATATGGCAACTCTTTTAAAATTGCATATTGGAACGCTGCTGGCGTTAGAAACAAACTAAATGAATTAGAGGTTTTCATGAATCGACATAAAATTGATATTATGATGCTCGTCGAGCTACGATTGGGCCCCAGCGCTCTCAATCCAGGTCCCCCAATTACTATTAACGGCTACCATACATATGCGGCAACTCGCCCACCACCACACCATAGATGCGGGGGTGTTGCCACTTTAGTAAAACACGGAATCAAACACATTGCCCTGGAAGCAATTGTGTTTGAATCCATGCAATCTGCACCAGTAGCTGTGACCCTGGCAAAAAATGAGACCATTGTCCTAGCTCCAATTTATTGCCCACCGCAATATAATTGGAGCGCTGACATGTTTGCCAAACTTTTCCAACATTTTGAAAAATTGAGCGGGTCCGGGTTCATTTTATGTGGCGACTGGAACGCCAAACATTCCTGGTGGGGCAACCAACGTGCTTGTCGACGAGGGGTAGAGCTGCTAAGAAGCATTCACAGCAACAAGAAGCTGAACATTCTTGCTACAGGTGGGGCTACACACTTCCCATACACAAGTAGGAACAGGCCATCCGCTATCGATATTGCGGTCTACAGTGGCATTAACAATGACCGACTACAAACACACTCTACAATCGATCTAGAATCGGATCATCTACCTATACATATAGGCCTCAGAGTAGGCCGATTCCCGTATAAACAAACAACAATGCGATTGCTACCGATAAATGCAAACGTAAAAAAATTTCAAAACCATTTAGATAAAAACGTTCGTCTTAATACAGAAATAATATCGGGACCCGATATTGAAGACGCCATCGACATATTAAATAAAAACATATATAATGCTTCCTTAGCAGCAACACACCCACCTCGTAGACATCAACAGCAACAAAGACAAGGCACAAATACAAATCGCATGAACCATGGCCGTTTTAAATTAACAAACGAAACAATTAGACTTTTGGCAATAAAACGGCAGCGCAAGAGAGAACATATGGTTAT